AAGAACATGGCGGACTGAAAAAATCCCTTACGCACTTTTAATAAGAAGATACACTTCTGTATGTCTTTATTCTGTGCCAGTGCGCTTATGAGAGGCATCATCCCCTGGACGTCTGCCATTTTGAACATCATCAGGGGGTGAATGCCTTTCATGAGCGCACTGGCTAGGACCATGGCGTCAGCATTTTGATAACGAATTACGGTTAAGCCAAAATCATAGGAAAAACCAAGAAGTCGGGCTTCTGTATAATCTTTATTCTGTGACTGTAGTTGAAACTGTTTCTATCGTTTTAAGATCCACCAGCAACGTGTTATGATGTCTTGATGAATGACATGGACGCGCCATCTGGGACATACTGGATCAAGCCAGATAGAGAAGCAATCTATGTTTATTGTGACATGGATACACACGGGGGAATGTGGACCCTGGTCTATCGCTACACATTTAGGAGCTACTACACCTTCAACACCGTAACCAACGCTGTATTCCCTCGTCCTGGCTGGCCTGCAAGCGATGCTGATATTCAGATTTCAGAAAATTCTCCAGCCTTTGGTCTAGGCGCCGTCGATTATTCCCTGTGGGAGTACATCGGTGGAAATTTTTTGATCCAATCAAACATCAACGATTGGATCTTTTGTAGACCCAACAGCGGAAGTTTGGTCACGCCAATTAATGGAACAATTGAATGTGAAAATATCAAGAACATAGCTTCCAATTGTTCAGGATTCGCGCCAAAACAAATTGTTTGGACGTCATGTGGTCCTAGGTTATTTGGTCAAAATACGATGTACTTTTTCGATGGTTCGTCTACTTCGTGTTGGCCAATACATAATCCTTGTAAGGAAACGTGGATGGATAATCATGAGAAGGGTGTGGAAAATCCTACTGGATTTATCTTTCTCAGACCTTAACTGTTTATTGAGTACATGCATGCAGGCATGGTGGTATTGATGGTGGTGATTGTGATGATGGTGATGATCACGATGTGATGCCGATGGTTGTGATGGTGATGATGGTAGTGGTGATGATGATGGGCGTGATAGTGGCAATGATGGTGGTGATTGTTAAAGTGGTGATAATCATTGCGATTGCGGTGTTGGTGATGCTGGCAGTGATTGTGATGCTGGGAATAGTAATGATGAATCACCATGCATTACCACTATCGTCATTACCACTATTAACATTTATACCATCATCCTCAACAATTTCAGAATCAACTAGTTTAAACTATGGCTTATGGTTTTGCACTTAAGGTAGAAATTTAGAGCCTTTTACACAAATATATATATATATATATATACAATAATAAATCGTTGTCCGTTGTACAAAAAGAGTGCTCAATAACAAATTTAATTGATAGAGCAAAATATACTAATTATGATCTTAAAATTTTATTAATCGCTACACAGTGTTTCACGCTTTCAAAGCGATCTTCAGGCGATACTACCACAGATGAGGTAGATACAGATGTGAATCTTCCGTCAAATTGCTGATTGTTTTGTGTCACACGGAATTCTCACTTCCGGCGAGCGCTGGCAAGTGTCGTTCTGAAATTTAATAAGGAAAGAGATAGGAAAACGCCGTTCGAAAGACGAAAAATTGTTTTTTTTAAAAGTCTACGCTACCGACGGCTATTTTTGGAATTAATTCTTCAAGAGTAACGGTAAGCGATCACTTTTATTGATTTCTTTTTATTAAAAGTGTTAATATAACATTTTATTTAGCAAAAGTTTGTTTTTTTCCCTATCTACTTCTTATTAAAATCGTGAAATACACTTGCTGGGAATTTCAGATGCTCATGTATAATAACAAAACAGCGAATGATATAAATTCCTCAAAACATGACTCTGGCATAAAAAAACATGAATACTTCTATAATATGTATAGTTTTATTTCTCTGCTTTATCAAAATTTAATAAAATAGTGAATTAATACAATTTTAAAGTTTATTTAATCGGTGTGACATAATTCTATTTCGTCATTGGACTACGTCACTAAGGAGTCATGTGAGATATGCGCACGCAGATCGAATGTTCAATTGCAAGCAATGATCGAGAATGTTCACATGCTTTCTTTAGCGGGAACAAAATATGTAAGTATATTTTACGTTTCTGCCTTAAAATACACGAGGTGATTGTTTCTAACATAGTATTTGTCAAGTTTTCTCGCCATGTAGGGGTTTTTTCATCACACAATGGGTGTTATAAGACGAAAAAA